ACCTAGCCTTGAAATAAAGGAACTTTCACTTTAATCTGCATTTGGGTCCTACCTGCTTCACACACCGTGACAGAACGAACCGACCACAAAATGGACCCAGCAGATGATCCATGGGAGGTTGAATTACAGCATTTAACCTTCTATCTGGCTTGCTGCTTCGATTGGTGGAAGGGAGCGTCCAGTGTTCGGCAGAAGAGGGCCGCTCTGGTAGAGGCGCTCTGGTTGGCAGCAGAGAAACCATGTTTTGTTGAGTTTTTACCTGACTGGATTTTGGACTTCTTTCAAGCATGTGATTCCAGGCATGCTAGCTCCCTGTCTCCCAATTCCCAACCTGGCACCATACGCCTTGGTGGGTTCCGCCTGAAGTCTACCCGTGCTTCTGCCCCAGTTCCTGCTCCTGTCCAGGACTCGTATTCCGGAACTCGTCAGGCTTATGGAGGTCCACGGAGTATTCAGGAGGCTGCTAAGAGGAGTCGTCGCAAGGCCAGGCTAGCAGCCCGAGCCCCAGCAGCCATGGTTCCGGCTCCAGTACAGGCCCCAACAGCCATGGTTTCCGGCTACAGTGCCGGACCCAGCAGCCATGGTTCCGTGCTCCAGTACCACCCCACACAGTCATGGATCCGTGTTCCGGTTCCTTGCCCAGCAGCCATGGTTCCGGCTCCAGTGCCGGCCCCAGCAGCCATGTTTCCGGCTCCAAAACCGGCCCACACAGCCATGATCCAGGCTTCAGCTCCGGACCTTACAGCCATGTTTCCGGCTCCAGAACTGGATCTTACAACTGTGGTCCCTGCACCAGAGCAGGCCCATACAGCCATGGTTCCGGCTCAAGTACCGGCTCCAGCAGTCATGGTCCCGACTCCAGCACCTCGTCTCCTGCTGGCTCCCTAGCCGACGCCAGCTCCCCGAGTCTTGTCGGCGTACCGGCCGACTCCAGCACCTCGTCTCCTGTTGGCTCTCCAGCCAACACCAGCTCCCCGAGTCTTGTCGGCGTACCGGCCGACTCCAGCACCTCGTCTCCTGCTGGCTCCCCAGCTGACGCCAGCTCCCCGTGTCCTGTCGGCGTACCGACCGACACAAGTTCCCTCTCAAGTCCCTCTCAAGTTCCTACCCGAGTCCCCTCTCAAGTTCCTACCCGAGTCCACTCTCCAGTTCCTACCCGAGTCCCCTCTCCAGTTCCCTCTCGGGTCCCCTCTCGAGTCCCCTCTCGAGTCCCCTCTCCAGTCCCCTCTCGAGTCCCCTCTCCAGTCCCCTCTCCAGTCCCCTCTCCAGTCCCCTCTCCAGTTCCCTCTCCAGTCCCCTCTCCAGTCCCCTCTCGAGTCCCCTCTCGAGTCCCCTCTCTAGTCTTCTCTCCAGTCCCTTCTCGAGTCCCCTCTCAAGTCTCCTCTCCAGTTCCCTCTCCAGTCCCCTCTCGAGTTCCCCCTTGGTTCCCCTCTCGAGTCTCCTCTCGAGTCCCCTCTCGAGTCACGTCTCAAGTCCCTACCCAATGTCCTGGTCCGTTGGAGGTTCCGCTGGGGGTCCTGCCAACTCCATGTCCTGTCCCGTTGGAGGCCCCGTCGACTACTCCTCTGCCGGGGGTCCTACCAATCGTATGTCTGTCCCGTTGGAGGTCCCGCCGTCTACTCTCCTACCGGGGGTCCTGCCAGCTCCTTGTACTGTCTCGTTGGAGGTCCCGCCGACTACTCTCCTGCCGGGGGTCCTGCCAACCCGTTATCCTGTGCCGTTGGAGGCCCCGCCGACTACTCTCCTGCCGGGGGTCCTGCCAACCCTATGTCCTGTCTCGTTGGAGGTCCCGCCGTCTACTCTCCTGCCGGGGGTCCTGCCAACCCTTTGTCCTGTGCCGTTGGAGGCCCCGCCGACTACTCTCCTGCCGGGGGTCCTGCCAACCCTTTGTCCTGTGCCATTGGAGGCCCCGCCGACTACTCTCCTGCCGGGGGTCCTACCAACCGCTTGTCCTGTTCCGTTGGAGGCCCCGCCATCCTCTGTCTCGCCGGGGGTCCTGCCAATCCCGTGTCCTGGTCCTCTTCCGTGGGGGATCCTGCCGAGGCCTGTCCCACCAGCTCCGGTTCCTGTCCGGCCGACACCGGGTCCTGCGCTGGCCAGTCAGCGCCTTCCTGCCCGGCCTCCGGAGCTCTCTGGTCTTCGCCCTCGAGCCCGGCCCCCTGCGAGCCGCGGTCTTCGCCCTCGATCCCGACCCTCTGTGAGCCGTGGTCTTCGCCCTCGAGCCCGGCCCCCTGAGAGCCGCGGTCTTTGCCCTCGATCCCGGCCCTCTGTGAGCCGTGGTCTTCGCCCACGATCCCGGCCCCCTGACTCTTCCTGCCGCTGCCCTCGTCCTCGAGCCCGGCCCCCTGACTCTTCCTGCCGCTGCCTTCACCCTCATGCTCGGCCGCCCGAGTCCCCCACCTTAGACTCTGCCTTGCCCCCGGGCCGTCCGCCCGAATCCCCCTTTTTGAACTCTGCCTTGCCCCCGGGCCGTCCGCCCGAGATCCCTTCCTGGTCCTCTGCTGTGCCTCTGGGCGGTCAGCTCAGTCCCGTCCTCCTGACCCCCTCCACCCACCCTGGTGGCCTAGGGATACGTCCCTCCTCCGGACCCCCTCCACCCACCCTGCTTGAGGTTTTGGACTTTTGTGGGGTTTTTTTTGGGACGTCTGGGATCCGTCCCTTGAGGGGGGGGGTACTGTCACGATCTGTCTTTATGATGTTTTGTCTTGTCTTGTTTCATGTTTTATGTTGAAAGGTCTTCACTTCCTGTCTTGCCTGTTTCTGTCGGCGTTGTGTCTTGTTTAAATCTGTCTGTGGTTCCCGGTCGTTAGTTTCCCTGGTGTGTCTAATTTACCCGATTGTGTTCACCTGTGTTTTCTCCTCCCTCCTCACTTGTGTCTTGTTTGTGTGATTAGTCTTGTGTGTATTTAAGTTCTGGTTTTTCTGTCTGTCTTTGTCGGTTTGTCTTTTGTCATGACTAGTTCGTCGGTGAGTGTTCTGTTTTGTCTTTGTTATCACCTAGCCTTGAAATAAAGGAACTTTCACTTTAATCTGCATTTGGGTCCTACCTGCTTCACACACCGTGACAGCTTCAGCGCGTTCCTCCTAATGGAAGTGTTTTTGACTGTTGTAACGCATTTGCATCTGATTGCCACCGTATGAATTAGTTGTGAAAAAGTGTAAAAAACAGACAAATCACACACAGATACACATAGAGACTTGTTTTAACGTTTCTCTGCGTCTTAAATCCCCTCCTTCTGCTCTAAATGCGTCAGTAATGGGAAGATGGAATGGTTCTTATCTGATTACTGGAACTTCTGTGATCGTGGAGCCAATGCATAATCTGAATCTCTGTCAAGAACAATGGACATAAATAAAAGTCTGATTACACAATATCTGAAAAGGGCCCGCAGTGTCTTCCTCATCAACATGGTGCCATGCAGCTGCTTCCATTTAGAGACAAGGCTGAGAAACTCTGAGTACAGTAAACAGAAAGGGAAATGTGATTAGAATCAGATTGAATTTTATTGGCCATTGTTCGCATATTAAATTATTAGAATCTGGTTTTCAGGAACTCTCAATTTGTGCAAATAAATGTACAAGCTGTAGTTTCTTCGTTATGTATGATTGTGTATATTCTTTAAGTGTAAAGAAGTAGCTTATTTAATTTACTATATATTAGCTGCCTGGTATTTCACCAAAAGTTAAAATACTTAACTTAACCCTTATGTTGTGTTCGGGTCTCCCGTGACCCGTTTCAAGTTACAATTATATAATAACTACGCTCTAGTTTTTTGTATCGGAACAAGGCTTCATGATATCCTCCACAACAGCTATATAAACACTACAATACTGATTTTGACCATTTTAGCCAAGTCTGAAAAAAAAAAAAGTGTATAATTTGGTGTTGGGGTCTGGGGAGACCCAGCAGAATTGTTTTGGGTGACTCGGGTCAAATTTGGCCCAATAAAGATTCATCTTTGACTTTAGACACCCCTCCCCCGCCCCCTTCATCCACTAGAACAATAATTTAAAACCTTTTGGGGGAGATTGTATTCTAATATGAGTCTATTATAGTCAGATAACAATGATCCATTTCACCATAGGAAATATGAGTGAATTGAATCACATGTTTTACTTAAATATGTGGTGTAATGTTTTTTGGGGCCATACAATTACAACAGGATTGTACGGTTATGAATGCATAATAAGTTAGTTGTGATGTAGTTAAAACAATATTTGGATGATAGTCATTATTTTTGAGTGTTTTGGACTGAGATAAATGATGGGTCAAAATGTACCCGTATGAACGGTAACAGCAAGGGTTAACTTAACCTAAACATGTTTTAATTTGTAATAATATGCAGTAAAATGTACATATATAATAATATTGATCAGAGACTGCACTGACCTCACCACCTTCAAAAAACTCACAAAACCTCACCTCCTCAATCTGGCTTTTAATGTGTGATTGTTTTTGCTTGATTGTATTGTGACTTTAACTATATTTATTTGTCGCTTTTGTTTTTTCACTATCTCTGTAAAGCGACTTTGAGCACCTGTAAAAGCGCTTACAAAATAAATCTATTATTATGTATTATTATTATTATTGATCTCTGAAAATGTAGTGGATTAGAAATAGAAAGCAACAGGGAAGAGAAATACTTTGTACTTGAGTAAATGTACGTCGTTACTGTTCAACATTCATCGTTAGAGATGCGGTGCAAAAGTTCCCACCCAAAACATTAAATATGAATTCCTAGGAACGGTACCTTCCGTTTAAAAAAAAAAAAAAAATAGTTGTTTAACATCCTGAAGTGTGATTTGATCCTGTCTTCTTTCGTACACCTGCTATGTCTGAACGTGCTGCATCTCATGTGTCGCACCTCTTTCAGAGAGGTGTATTTTCCGCTGGGTGATTAAGAACGTCTTTGGAAAGGTCTCCTAAGGTTTGAACAGGAGCTTGCTGAATTCCCTGCTGCTGACTAACTGTGAGTAACGCGTCGTGTTGTGACCTGCAGGGCACTTCGGATGCGTTTTCCACGGAACGCTGATGGAGCCGGACGGGCAGAAGCAGCACTGCGCCGTCAAGTCTCTGAACCGTGAGTACAACCCCTGAACGTGGGGAAATATCCCGCCAATGCCTTTAGAAACAATGGAAGTGACACCTATTCTTTCAAGCTTATACTGTACAGTGTTCTGTCTTTTTGCAAACGAATATACATTGCACACATTTGCATCCATAACTCCTTTTCACTACAAGATATTTGGCCGTTTTACTGGGGGAATGTGGGAGATAAGTATCTTTCTCAACACGCTGCACGTGGGAAATATCCTGCCAATGCATTTAGAAAGAATGAAAGTGACACTTATGGCGTATTTCCACTGCAGCGCGCAGCACTGTTTAAGCGTGCCGTGCCAAACCCTTTGCTTTTCCATTATGTTTTTTGCATTATGTCTAATGTTATGTTGATGTCTCGTTTCGGTCATAATGCCATTTGCTGGTTTCAGAGTTATCTAACCGACCGTACTCAATGCGTCAGGTTGGGGTAGTACTGTCTCTGACCCTGTCACTTTGAAGAAGGGAGTTCCACAGGGCTCTATTTTGGGGCCTTTGCTCTTTTTATTATAAGTAAACAATATTTGTAATCAGATGTAATTTTCTACCTATCATATGTATGCTGATGACACTATTGTATACTCATGTGCTCCTTCTCATGTGCTCCTTTGGCCGTTTCCAATTTAAAATCTGATTGGATCACGCTGCAGCATGCGCTTCTTGATTCCAAACTGCTTTTGAACAGTAAGAAAACCAAAGCAATGCTTTTTGCTCCCAAGTCAGCGTCCTCTTGCCTCTCCATTGACACCCTTGATGGCGTCTCTGTTGAGTTTGTCGATACCTACAAATATCTTGTCTTCTGGTTGGACAGTAATCTCAACTTCAAACACCATATTAAAGTTCTAACAAAGAAATTGAAATTCACTCTTGGCTTCCTTTACAGACTTAAATGTTGTTTTTAAACTTCTTCCCGTAAAAGGTTGGTCTCTGGCTTATTCCTGTCCCAGCTGCACTACAGTGATACAATCTATAGATTTGCCTGTCCTACTGTTTTGGCCAAACTTGACCCACTCGACCATGCTGCACTGCGATATATATCAAATGCACCCGATAGGACTCATCATTGCACACTGTATAGCCTAACTGGATGGTCCTCACTTACTATGCGTAGGATGCAGCATTGGTTTTTATTCATGTATAAAGCCATTTTAGGAAAGCTTCCACTGTACATATGTGCCAGATTTGCTCCAGTTTGTGACTCTTACAACCTCAGCTGTCCTGCTGTGCGGACTGAGGCTGGGAAAAGGAGTCTTTTTTATTATGGTCCTTGGTCTTGGAATGACCTTCAATCAAGCCTCAAACTGAGGGCACTTGTCTCAATAGCATGTTTTTAAATTGAAGTTGTCTGAGGTCCTTACCACCAGCTGCTCTTGCAGTAATAAGTAGTGCACCTTTCTTACTGTCCTAAATGTGCACAATGTAGTGACTGCTTTTTTGTCTTTTGTTTTCTTAGTTATGTTCTCTGTATTTTATATGTTTGTGTTGTTATGTGTAACGTTGCTGCCTTCTTGGCCAGGTCAGCATTGCAAATGAGATTCCATCTCAATGCTTTTATCTGGTTAAATAAAAGTTAAATACATTTTTTTTTTTAAATGTCCACTAGGGGTAGTTCCGGGCTACTTTTTCACCTTTTTTCTGGCCCTCCAAAACCGAGGTTCTTACCGGGCCAACAACCGGGCTGAGTATGCTAAACTGAGAGAATCGCTGGCAAGGGGGCTACAACTACAACACAATGAACATATTTGACCGTGATTTAATTGTAATACACGTTTCAAAATGATGCCGAAGTAACAACATACTGATACCGGTTAGTAAAAACCATGAATTAATGCTTTGACCAGTCTGCAGACAGACGGCAGAGAAAAACCTTTTAAAATGCGTGTTTTCTAAATGGAGCTTGGCTAAGCTAACGCATTATATGCTCCGACCGTCCACACTCACAACAACGGCCTACAAACATAAATAAACCAGCGACTGTATTCACCATGACACAGACAGTCTGTGGTTTGTACTTGTTTAACTTGTGTCTAGTTTCTTAACAGATATGAGGAGCTGTGAGCTCTGAGTGCTAACAGCTAACGGCTGTGTTGTTTTTCTGTGTTTCGCATTGAAGATGACGTCACGGCTCCGGCTACACTGCGTTACTATAGTTACTACCCCTGCTACTAAACTGTAATGGAAACGCAGCATAAAGTGAGCCTGGCCTATCAAGGCCTAACTATACCGTACTAAGCCGTGCTAGGCCCTGCAGTGGAAATGCGCCTTAAGTCCTCTAAACTGATGCAGTGTGATTTGGTGTACTGCATTCATGAATAACTCCTTGTCAGTAGAAGATATTTGTCCGTTTTACTGGGGAAATAAAGGGGTTTAGTGTCTTTCTAAAGACGTTTTGTGATAAAAGAAATGTTGCCAAGATATATACAAATATGAAATACAGGAAGAGTATGATGGAATACTATAATATAACAAAATAGACATTTAAAAGTTGGAGAGTTGTGCAGATTTGAAAGAGGTAGAATTGTGCAAAAATAAACAGAGAATCTTCAAGGTTCCCAGTCTGATCACACGTAAAGGCTTTGTTATCCAAAGTTCAACCAACGCCTTTAGAAATAAGGCAAAGTGACACTTAGTCTTCTAAACTTATAGAGTGTGCTGTTTTTCTGCAATGCTTTGCCTCAAAACAATATTAATGTCACACATTTGCATCCATAACTCCTTTTCAGTACAAGATATTTGGCCGTTTTACCAGGGACATTTTGGGGTTTTAATGTCTTTCTAAATGTTGCCAAGATATATATATATACAAAAAAGAAATAGATAAGATAAGAGGTACTTTATTTATCCCAATTTGGGCCATTTTTATGTTGCAGCAGCATAAAAAAGCAATGCATTGCACAAAGTAGATTCAGCCACACGCCTTTTCGAAAATAAGGAAATTGACCCTTTTTCCTCTAAACTGTGATATTGTGTTGCTTCTCTGAAATGATCTGCTTCACATCTATCTGTGGCAATGGTCCAATATTAACTTCATTCCTAAAGATAGGCGGACATGTTCTGACAATCACCATGCAGGTTCTTTGTGTGTTTTGTATCTCAAAGCCTGTTTTAGTTCTGGTTCCCATACATACTTAGATGACAGGACCTTATGTTCAAATCTGGAACAGTACGCAGATTGAAAGCAGACACATTTCCCGGAAACTGTTATGCTCTGCAATACCATGCACACATGTTCAAATATCAGATTCAGGTTATTTTATTTGTACCCATAGGTCGATTTGTAAATATACATATGGTAACTACATTGTTTTAAGATGTCTTAAAGGTCCCATGTCATGCTTTTCCGGTTATCACCCGTCCCCTTGTGTTATGAAGCTTTTTCTGCATGTAAACGGTCTGCAGTCACAAACCCTCAAAGTACACCCTGTAGCGAGTAAAACTCTAACACAGAAAATACCTGTCTATGCTGCCCCAGAACGCCTCGTTGGACATTTCTCTTTTTCTTCCTGGGTACAGTGACGTATTTCGGGTATAGTGACGTAACGTAACGGCCCCGCAGATTTGTCCAAATGGACCAATCTGCGGAGCCGTTACATTTGGACCAATCCGCGGACTTCCTCACACACACACACACTCGGCGGGACGTTGCGAGGCTCACTGCTGCGAGGAGCGGGACACTGTGAGCTGGCTCACTGGTGTGGGGTCGGCGAGACAGCGAGACACCGCGGAACTCAGCCTGAGCACGCACACAAACTCCCAGCCAGGCTGCGGGTGTGTGTGTGTTTCGGGCTGGGTTTCGCTGTGTCTCGCTGTCTCGCAGACGGCCACTGGGCTCACAGAGAGGGGGGGGGGGGCAGGAATTTATTTTAGTGTACCTCAACAATGGAATTATGATCAGTAGAAATGGCCACGACATGGGACCTTTAAATACCTGCAGTTACAATTGTGGGGGTAGTTTTTTGCTCAGGAACTGATTTTAAGTATAACTAACTTACAGTATGTTGCTGTATTTGCCTCTGGATCTTAAAAATGCTTTCAATTTGATAACTGCATCCAAAGCCGTCGTTATGTCAAATCTAAGCTAAGATTTACCCAAAGTCCTCCTTCAGTGACATTTCACATTGTTTTTTCTTTAGTAACCCTAACCCTCACAACACACCTTCTCCTTGTCCAAACACATCCACCTCCTCCTACATCACAATAAATGTCCATACTTAATGCAGGATATCACAACGCTCCAATAGCATTAAGGGTCTCATCTCATCCTCTCTGGGCGGATGGTGATGAACGAGGGTCCGATGGCGAGGACGGCATTAGGGTCTCCTCTAATCGTGTAACCTGTCACATGACCAGGGAGATTGATGCTGCTATGATATGGAGAGGGAGGGGGGGTTAGGTCTAACTGCAGGGGTCCTGTCCTCTGGGATTTGGGACCTTTTTATTAGGTTTAGTGATTTCTCCGTGTCACTGGGTCTTTTGTTATATCTGAAAGTGATGCTTTTTACTAAGATACATAGTTGAATATGGATTGTTTTGGAGCTGGTTATGGTTTGTATAACTTAATAGTGTTATGTATTGTCTTGCTGGTTTGTATATAGTAATTTGATCATAAGTTTTGGCTAATTTGAGTCGTTTTTAGTGCTTCTTCTTGATGCACCAGGTGATTTGGTATTTATTGGAGAGGTGATTAGGCCCCGGAACAAAGGTATACACATTTTTCTACGAGGGAAAAGCCATTCTTTATATGTAGGGAGGCGTGTGGCGCAGTGGCTTGTGCGTATGTGTTGGTATCAGGGGCTCACAGGTTCAAACCCCACTGCAGTCAGCATGTCCCTGAGATACTTCACCCCAAATTGCTCCTGTGGGGATTGTCCACAGTATTGAATGTAAGTCGCTTTGGATAAAAGCGTCTAACATGTAATGTAATATGTTTGATTGTTGAAACCTAAGGAAAATCAACCGGATAAACAAAATAATCTTTGGGGTTTTGGTTTAACGACACCTCGCGTATGTAGACAGTACTTCCTCAGTGACAAGTGTATGATAATCGCCCAAGAATATTAACATTTCCATCATATGGCGCACGCGTAAATACATTTTCTTTAAGGACAAATCACCTCTTTTGTAGACAGTACTTCCACAATGAGGAGTGCATGATGGAGCATCCGCACAGCAATGATGTCATTTTTAGTGAACAGATTGAGGCTCTGAAATCAGATGTCATCTCTTTTCCGTCTTTGGGGTCGAGCCTCAGATGAAGAGAGTAATCAGATTACAGCCGAGGCAGAGAGGCAATCTGCAAAATGGGGGTCAGGTCGGGGTGAGGACATTCAGGAAGGATTGTCCACTCCACTTGAGTCTGAAATATATTTTTAGAAATACTGTACCTCAAAAAAATCCCCAAATCATCAACAGCACTTTGTCCTTTACTTGCTTTCAAACTAATACACATTTTAAGAAGATGGCACCGACATACAGATAATAATATAGAAAAACAATGAATGGCAAGAATCCCCCTCTTACAGATTCACTGTGGATGGTGTTCTTTTCACACATGTTTTACCATTACATTCCCTGCAAGTTTGAAATGTACTTCTCCTAATCGTCTTTTTTCATATCAAGGTATTCATATAACTATCATCTACAAAAATGTTTTGTTCCATTTTTTATCAATGTAATCTCAGATCTGGAGGGGTGTCCCATTTTGTCCACTTTTTCGATCTTTCCCATCCATGTTGTATATGCCGACTGTTTCCTCATCCACAGAAAGTCAATGCTCTTCTCTCATGATCTCTAAAGGCATCACGGACCTGGAGGAGGTGTCCCAGTTCCTGAAGGAGGGGATCATCATGAAGGACTTCTCCCACCCCAACGTGCTCTCTCTGCTGGGGATCTGCCTTCCTCCGGTGGGCTCCCCCCTGGTGGTACTGCCCTACATGAAGCACGGAGACCTGCGCAACTTCATCCGCGACGAGGGACACGTACGTACCACAGATACATGCATGCACTCTGCGGGGTCCTGCAATTCATATTTAAGATAGATAGATTCCCTTTATCGTCACTACACAGAGAAATTCCAAACATTCCCGATGGCGCGATCACACATAACAGACAGTATAATGTTGACAATACAAGAAAAAAGCTTTTAATATATAATATATAAAGTGGCTATAACAAATATAGAGATGCACACTGTGGAGTAATTGTGTGACTATGAAATGGTGTGCAAAACACTGATTGTCTTACTAATGAAGGTGGTGTTAGACAAAAGCAATCGATCTCAGGATGCTACATTAAGACTATCTGGTAGAACACTTTCACATTGTTTTAAATACTAATACAAACAAGTAAATATAAACTACTGTTGGAGCTATATATATCTCTTTATATTATTTAATAGTTTAACATTTATTTTCTTGCTGTTTATAGTGTCTATTATTATCATTTATTTATATGTATTCTTAGTTGACTTCATGAGTTAAAGTAGTTTCTATGCTTTTATTTTGAAGGCATGTTTTGGGCACTGGGTGATTAGAGCACCTGGTGTAATTGTATATATTGGAGACAGGTGGTGGTGGGAGCCAGAGCACTAGTAGGCAAACGGTTTTTTACCAGGGTGTTTCAAGCTACACAAGGGAAAGCCATAGGAACGGCTTAAGGAGAAGGGATATAGGAAACCTGTTCGTTGTACTTTGTTATCGGAATAAACTGCACAAATGGAGAATCTTGTCTGGACCTGCGTAAGATCTGCTAACTAGTGCCTCAGCGCCTGTATTATTTTAAGTTAATTATCTGTTTTATTTCTATATGAAACTACTTTACTATAATTTTCAATCATGAAACCTATAGTTCATCCTAGTATGTGTAGTGTAATAAATTATCTTTTGTACCTTATCATATATTCTAACATCATAGCAGGGTTTGCTATGCCCTGCATTTTGTAACAGGGTATTACTGTATCATATTTGTCCTGTCACAATTGCATCTGAGATGTCCAGTAGGTCCTGAATAAGTTATTTAACGCAGCACATGTTGAAATAAAGTCATTTAAAGCCCCCTGACGGTTCTTCCCCCCTCCCCAGAACCCCACAGTGAAGGACCTGATGGGCTTCGGGCTGCAGGTGGCCAGAGGGATGGAGTATCTGGCCTCCAAGAAGTTTGTGCACAGAGACCTCGCTGCCAGAAACTGCATGTGAGTTAACATCTATTCATTCAATGTTAAATGTGTATTATGTATACAGGAGATGAGACCTAAATAGGAAGAAACAAGAACGAAATAAGCCCAGTAGAAAGACATCAAGACTCAGTTAAGTGAAAACCACTTGTGTGAATAGAAGAGATATGAACCTGAACAATGTGAGAACAATAATAATTGTTAAATGGAAAACAAAGTGGAAAGAAACAAAGACAACATTGACCATTTTCTCATTAACTTTTATTTAAAATCACTTTAATTTAATGGTATGATTCTGGAAACTCACTTGTTTAATTTTTGATAAGAAGAAATGGAGGAGGCAAGTAGAAAGACAATCTTAAATTAAGGAATGCAGGAGGAGGAGAGTGTTTGATAAGGTTTGAGGACCACTGTTGAGATATAGAGCGCTCTGAGGGAAGGTACATGGGACCTGCTTTTCTTAGCTACTTCGTGCTATCACTCGCTATCGTGTAGCTATTTCAAACCTCAGATTGATTTGTATTACTTTATAGACCGTATTCAACAATAACCCGCGGTCAAATAAAGAGAAATCAGTTCTTAAAAAGCCACTAAAGTAAATGTATTGATTTATTTCCGCTGACAGGCTGGATGAGAGCTACACGGTGAAGGTGGCAGACTTCGGGCTGGCTCGAGACGTTTACGATAAAGAATATTACAGCGTTCACAACAAGAGCGGAGTGAAGCTGCCCGTCAAGTGGATGGCTCTGGAGAGTCTGCAGACACACAAGTTCACCCCCAAGTCTGACGTGGTGAGGACGAGTTTACATCACGACACATATCACGTAACCACGTTCAATTCAATGCATCCATACAACACAACAACTACAATATGTATCTTCTAGAGTTGGAGAAAGTGAATGTATGTTAAGTGTCTGTGCCTATTTGCTTTTGTGTGTGCTTTTGTGTCTGCTGTGTGTTTATGGGTTTGTATTAATGTACTTTTAATTGTGCATATGTGGTTTAATCAGTTTAGAAATCATGAATCCAAAGTGTTGTGCTCTCCACAAATATAAAAGTGACTATTCCAAAATATATTCCATGGTTTTTTCGGATGCAGGATGTTAACATGACCGGACTTCTTTCTGCAGATTGATATGACTGCACAAAGTCTCCTAATCAGAGCGTCTTTAGCAGCAGTCTGCTATTGACCAATAACAGACTGCTAAATGTCCAAATCGACCAATCAGAATCAAGTATTCAACTTAGCTTTGTAACACATAACATAACTGCTGTCTTGAGCCCTTTTTAAAAAACACACAGATAAAAACTTGTTTGTAGTGTTATCAATCTCACTCAATACCTGTGAACTTACAAGAACAAAAGTGTGCTTTAAGGACAATTATGAATATATATAAATATTATAATCAGAGCGACCAATAGCAGACCGCTGAATGTCCAAATTGACCAATCAGAATCAAGTATTCAACGGCTGTCTTAAGACCTTTTTAAAGACAGACACATGTTGTGTTTATAGTGTTATCAATCTCACTCAATACCTGTGAACTTACAAGAACAAAAGTGTGCTTTACGGACAATATTGAAAGTTAATGTCCTTGTCTTTATTACAGTGGTCGTTTGGCGTGTTGCTATGGGAACTGATGACCCGAGGAGCTCCTCCGTACTCGGACGTGAACTCCTTCGACATCACCATCTTCCTCCTGCAGGGGAGGAGGCTGCTGCAGCCCGAGTTCTGCCCCGACGCCCTGTGAGTGCACACACACACACAGACACACACATTTATAAACATACACCTGTCATTCACCTCCCCCGGCTCAGTTAGTGTGAGTGATATACTGTAGAGCTGCACTCAAACACATCAGGAGGGCAGCAGGGGGGCTGTATAAGCAATGGAAGTCGTAAATAAAATCCACTCGGGTTCAGATCATCCATCATCTGCTGTAGAAACACTCAGAAACACTCTCACTGTGGAGCGCCTCATCACAGCTGGGGGTCGGATAGAAGTCATTTCTCTGCTTCACCGCCAAACAAAGAGACAGTTTCAGAGGGGAATCCAATACCAGTGGAGCATGTTTCGTTATGATTTGTGTATTTTGGTTGCCTTGGTAGTAGGGATGAGGTCACCTTTGTTTCTGGGTTTTGGATTCGTGCCGGTAAAATGTCCTGACATGATTAATTCAACTATTTCAGATGTACAGGTAGCTCTGAACTGAACCTTGGTTACAGTCTCTATGCATGAAATACCTCTACTACGAGTCTTGGGACGATATGAAGATGTGGTGTCCTGATTGTCCCAGCTAAAATATCTGGATGTACGATATTAGCCCGATAAAGAGCTTTTTGAACATTAAAGCATGGAGACAGTAGAAACACTAAATACTCATTTGAACCTGGAAATACTTGAGCATAATAGGGCCTCTTTAAAAATTGCACTTAATAAACCAGAGTCCCTTAACCTTACATCTTGGAAGAAACAATTATTTGTATGTGTCGGTATACATATATGTAAATCCATCTAATTGTCAATCCTAAATGAGGTAATCATAGCGTCTACCTGCATTAATAAAGTAGATATTTGTAGATATTAATTGTAAATCCTTGTATTCTTTAATCAGGCAGTACTTCCCTTCCCTGAGTGTTTCCATAATCATCCTGATAATGAAAATTCTGCAAATATATTCAAAGTCATGATGGATAGACAACAGAAGAAAAACATACACTTATTTAAAGAAATGTCCCTTTAAGTCACAGTAAAGTGTCGGAACAGCAGACCCTTCCCCTCACTCACACACTGAACGGTCTTCATCCATTAAAGTCAGTGTGATGTCATCAGCTCCGAATAACAGGAGGGTCTCTGCCGCACACAGTGGAAATGTGAGAGGAGTGGGAGTGTTCAGGTGAGGGAGGCAGAAGTTCCCAAGCTGTAAATTAAACAGAGACATCAGATGGGGGGGGGGGGTGCACGTCTGCAAACATTCCCGCAATTCTTCTCCGCTGATATTCTCGGGGCGTTTCGGTGATAGCGGTCGCTGCACAGATTACTTCGGAGGTGTTGGCAACGGGGGGCCAATCTGCTTCCTTTTAACAATAATAAGATAGCAGAGGAAGAAGAAGAAAAAATAATATCAAATGATAATAATTTAGAGGCAAGGGTCGAGAGTTTTGTTGCCATTTTGATAAAAATGAAGGATTGATGGTGTGAAAGTTTTCCCTGACACACGTTGATAGTTGTTAGATATATTAAATGAAGGTGCCTAACACCGTGAAGGAGGACAACGTACGGTGCGTTTGTGAGTGTGTGCTGAAATTAACTTATAATATGTATTCTAGCATACAAGATGCAGCCTTTCTGGTTCAGTATTGAAAAAGTGGATAATTGTTGTGTGGTTGGTTATTGCATGAAGGTCTCATCTACATCAACACGTGTCCCCTCTTCTTCATGTCTTTTCTACATCAACATGTGTCCCCTCTTCTTCATGTCTCATCTACATCAACATGTGTCCCCTCTTCTTCATGTCTCATCTACATCAACATGTGTCCCCCTCTTCTTCATGTCTCTTCTACATCAACATGTGTCCCCTCTTCTTCATGTCTCTTCTACATCACCATGTGTCCCCTCTTCTTCATGTCTCTTCTACATCAACATGTGTCCCCTCTTCTTCATGTCTCTTCTACATCAAACATGATGTCCCCTCTTCTTCATGTCTCTTCTACATCAACATGTTGTCCCCTCTTCTTCATGTCTCTTCTACATCAACATGTGTCCCCTCTTCTTCATGTCTCTTCTACATCAACATGTGTCCCCTCTTCTTCATGTCTCTTCTACATCAACATGTGTCCCCTCTTCTTCATGTCTCATCTACATACACATGTGTCCCCTCTTCTTCATGTCTCCTTCTACATCAACATGTGTCCCCTCTTCTTCATGTTTCTTCTACATCACATGTGTCCCCTCTTCTCCATGTCTCTTCTACATCAACATGTTGTCCCTTCTTCTTCATGTCTCTTCTACATCACCATGTGTCCCATCTTCTTCATGTCTCTTCTACATCAACATGTGTCCACCTCTCTTCATGTCTCTTTCTACATCAACATGTGTCCCCTCTTCTTCATGTCTCTTCTACATCAACATGTGTCCCTTCTTCTTCATGTCTCTCTACATCAACATGTGTCCCCTCTTCTTCATGTCTATTCTACATCAACAATGTGTTCCCCTCTTCTTTCATGTCTCTTCGACATCAACATGTGTTCCCCTCTTCTTTCATGTCTCCTTCTACATCAACATGTGTCCCCTCTTCTTCATGTCTCTTCTACATCAACATGTGTCCCCTCTTCTTCATGTCTCTTCTACATCAACATTGTCCCCTCTTCTCCATGTCTCTTTCTACATCAACATGTGTCCCCTCTTCTTCATGTCTCTTCTACATCAACATGTGTCCCCTCTTCTTCATGTCTCTTCTACATCAACATGTGTCCCCTCTTCTTCATGTCTCTTCTACATCAACATGTGTCCCCTCTTCTTCATGTCTCTTCTACATCAACATGTGTCCCATCTTCTTCATGTCTCTTCTACATCAACATGTGTCCCCTCTTCTTCATGTCTCTTCTACATCAACATGTGTCCCCTCTTCTTCATGTCTCTTCTACATCAACATGTGTCTCCTCTTCTTCATGTCTCTTCTACATCAACATGTGTCCCCTCTTCTTCATGTCTCTTCTACATCAACATGTGTCCCCTCTTCTTCATGTCTCTTCTACATCAACATGTGTCCCCTCTTCTTCATGTCTCTTCTACATCAACATGTGTCCCCTCTTCTTCATGTCTCTTCTACATCAACATGTGTCCCCTCTTCTTCATGTCTCTTCTACATCAACATGTGTCCCCTCTTCTTCATGTCTCTTCTACATCAACATGTGTCCCCTCTCTTCATGTCTCTTCTCATCAACATGTGTCCCCTCTTCTTCATGTCTCTTCTACATCAACATGTGTCCCCTCTTCTTCATGTCTCTTCATATCAACATGTGTCCCCTCTTCTTCATGTCTCTTCTACATCAACATGTGTCCCTCTTCTTCATGTCTCTTCTACATCAACATGTGTCCCCTCTTCTTCATGTCTCTTCTACATCAACATGTGTCCCCTCTTCTTCATGTCTCTTCTACATCAACATGTGTCCCCTCTTCCTTATGTCTCTTCTCATCAACATGTGTCCCCCTTCTTCATGTCTCTTCTACATCAACATGTGTCCCCTCTTCTTCATGTCTCTTCTACATCAACATGTGTCCCCTCTTCTTCATGTCTTTCTACATCAACATGTGTCCCCTCTTCTTCATGTCTCTTCTACATCAACATGTGTCCCCTCTTCTTCATGTCTCTTCTACATCAACATGTGTCCCCTCTTCTTCATGTCTCTTCTACATCAACATGTGTCCCCTCTTCTTCATGTATCTTCTACATCAACATGTGTCCCCCTCTTCTTCATGTCTCTTCTACATCAACATGGTGTCCCCTCTTCTTCATGTCTCTCTCTACATCAACATGTGTCCCCCTCTTCTCCATGTCTCTTCTACATCAACATGTGTCCCCTCTGTGTAAAGAGACTCTGAAAGTTTCAGGAGCAAAGATTCTCTCTTCTTTTTGATCCATTTCTATAAAAACCCTCTCTGAAAATGAGCTGATCAGATTTTAGCCCACCTTTATGATGTCATAAAGATGTTTTGTCTTGTGTAACCATTAGCCAATCACCAACCCAAGGTAACCCCCCCCCCCCCCCCTATCACCTGAATCTTCTCCTAGAGCTCCATTGAGTTATTTGTAACCAAATCCTCCCTCAGAGGGGCGTGGGGAGGGGCTCCTTATTTTCATCTAAAGTAACAGACAGAGAATCAGCACTTTGGAAACAGGGCTGAAACAGAGGGGATTATGGGTAATGCTGCAATGACTTGTTTTGGTGTTTCAGCCAATCAGAGACAGGCTCTGGATATATCTGAGACCTGTGATATATTGATGAAAAACAGTATAATAGGAGACCTTTAAGACATGGTGGAAAAACTATTGCAAGGTATACTAGGTGCATGTACAATGATCATTTCCAGTATATAAACCTCTCTTTTAAGCAGTGTTACGTATCCCAGGATTTCTACAATTGTAGCATAATATTCTAAAATGTATATTCATGACATTCCCAAAGATTGTGTGAGATTTGCCTTATTTAGTATGAAATGTGAGAACCAGTAAAAGACGCCTCTCCTCTTCCTCCCTCAGATACACGGTGATGGTGGAGTGCTGGCACCCGAAGCCGGAGCGCCGCCCCTCCTTCTCCGACCTCGTGGCCCGGATCTCCTCCATCTTCTCCAGCTTCAGCGGCGAGCACTACGTCCTGCTCAACACCACTTACGTCAACATCGAGAAGATGAGCCTTACCCCTCGCTCCTCTCCTCCTCCCCTCCTCCTCCTCCACCACCAACACCAACGTCTCTACTCCTCCTCCTCCTCCTCCGACCCTTCCACCTCCACTTCCCTGCCCACTCAATCCCAGTTCTTCTGCCGCGTGGAACGGGAATGCTGCACCTGAGAGAGGAAAACTGGGCGGGAATAGACTCAGAAATTGAGAGGAAAACGCAAAGGGTGATGAAGAACTACTGTATGTACTTGCCAAACACTGTATGCTGAGGAAAAACACTCAAATAAATCTACATAATCGACTGAAATGTGACTTTTTGGAGCATCGCCAATAGACTGAAGTCCTTGTATGGACTTTTCTGACCTCTCATGACCCCGAGGATCATGAGGTCAGACTTCCTGCGTTTTTTACAAGACAATTAGACACAGGAAGTCCTCAAAACGTCACCGAACGCTATCACGAAACACCCAAAACCCTTGTCGGGAGGATATATTTCCTGCTCCTCTGTGGGTGGCATCGTGTGCTCCGATACGAGGACTCTTTCCGCCGTCTGTAATGTGAATGTTTGACAAATGGCCATGTATAGAAAATGTCACATCCTCAAAAGGCCTCATTTGATGGATTGCGATGCCTCGGGTGTGTAACTGTGGAAGTCAATGATGGCGAGGGAAGTGTAGGTGTATGACAACCATCTCTCCTGCCTGTGTGCAGTTCACTGGATGCTTTATTTCTGTAATTACAGTACTTTGGACCATTAGCTTTTACGTGCTTGCAGAAAAAAACTCTCGGTGACTGTGTGAAATCCCCAGGTGTTTCCAAAGAAAAGGGTCCGAACGCTAAACCCTTTTATTGTCCGCTTTATTTTCCTTTCTGGAACCCTGAAACATGTCAAAACCTGAACGCTTTGAGCTTTTCTTTTTAGGGAGTAGGACGAGTGAGAACTGTGTCCTGGGATCACTGTGCGTCCACTTTAAGGATTTAAGGACAGGTAAATGTCTGGTAAAAAAAGGAACTTAGACACATTTGTTTTCCTGTACCAGACACTTAAAAGGTAATGTCAATATTTCGGTGATTTGGATATTGGACAACACTGTCAAATACTTAATTGTTTCCTAAAGATTTGACTCCCAAAATGTCCCTTTATTAGTCTCTCTGTCATCTGGCTTCAAACAGGAGTGTTGTTATCTCACTCTCTTCTAACTCTCTGTGCATTATGAAGAAATATTTTAATGTTAAAAGGCTGTTGTAACAGTGTGTTGCAAATCTTTTAACTACAAATCATGTACAATTTGCACTTATGTTGACTATTTTTAAAAGCATATTATACAGGTTTTCTTTCTAATCCATGCAGCTAATGGCTTTTATTCATTTCTGCCCAGTATGAAAATCACATTCAGATTCTTGCTTGAGACATTAAGGCTGGAGCCACACGAGAACGGTAACGGTCGTATCCGCTACAGTTCTCTATCAGATAGACGGTTCGGCCACACGAGGCCGACAGGGGAACGCAGAGAACGATAACGGGTCCCACGGTGGGTAGATCTGCGGACGAAACGCTCTGGGGGGCCACACGGCTCCGTGTCTACGCCCTATATATGATCATTTTCTGATGACGCAATAGCCCCGCCTCTCCCCACCTCTCTTGCTCACCCCCGTGTCACCCGCGTCATTGCTGATGTTTCGCCAACAACAACAACAGTTTTCCGAGTGTTTGAGCCAGGTCCCGGTATCTCGCAGGACCGTGCACCCAGCAGGTGCCTCCAGCAGAACCCCCCTGCACGGCAGAGTTTGCGTTAGCTGAAATCTAAAATTCTCAGGTCAAAATGTGGCTTATTGTTTAGGTGTCCTTTGACACTCAGGCATATCATTAGCTAGAACTAGCTAGATCTGATCGATATGGTCATAAACGTGAATTAAGTCTAATCGGACAGGAGAGAGAGATCAGCTGCTGCTGGCGGAGAGAAAAAAAGCCCTGCCTCTCCTAACCTCTGCTGCTAAATCCACCGTGGAAAATAAACAGAAGGGCAACCATGGAAACCATGCCCG